GCAATGACTGTAGCCGGAGGGACAGGAGCCAGGGTGTATGCAGGCCCAGGTGGCCCAGGCAGCAAGCAGGACTCTACCTGAAGCCCTAGAGGTGGGTGGCCCTCCTGCAGTCACCTGACATCTCCAATCATAATTCCAGATGGTAACAAGACCAGTAGGTGCATCCTTCATTACGTACTGTGCCAGGCAGCATATTTGGTATTCTATGTGAATTCTTTTTATAACAATATAGCCAAAGGTTATATTGAGTCAAATGAATGAGTGGCAGCACCTACGGATGGGAAAACTGAGGCTGAAAACAATTAAGGAATTTGCCCAAGGTCAGGAGATGGCAAAACTGAGATCCAAACCCAGATCTGTCGGACTTCAAAGCCCAGTGGCTATCCCCAAAACCGAGCTATCTCCACACCATTCTGGGGCTGGGGACCAGGGAAGCTTCGTGGCAGACTGCCTGACTCCTGGCTGTGCGCGGCGGGATGGGGGAAGCCCTTCGGTTCATTCATTCTCCAGGCACTGCTCTGGGTCAGCTCTGCGCCGGCCATGCCCAGCCCAGGAGAGACACAGGACAAGAGGTGTCCCCTCAGGGGGCTCCTGGCCTGGGGGTCCCAAGCAGGCCAGCACGTGTACTGCACTGTGGACACATGCTTGGCCTCTCTGTGCCCATTTCCTCAGCTCCAGAAGGAAGGGGCTGATCAAGATGTCACTGGTTTTTCCCTGCACCCCAAACCTCTGAGGATGGCTGGGGTGCACTGAGCTTTCTGGGAGTTCACTTGTTGCACCAGGCCCCTTCACATATGCCATCTCATGGGATTCTCACTCCAACTTGACAAAGTGGGCACCACAGCTCAGACTTCACAGAAGAGGAAACTGAGGCCCAAAGAGGTTACACAACTTGCCCAAGGTCACACAGCTGAGCATAAGGTTGCTGGGACTGGAACTTGGCTTTAGCTCATTTCAAGGGTCCCAGCCTAATCACACAGCTACCCTGGCAGTGTCCACCGGACTAGAGCCAGGCACGGGAGAGGGGATTTCTGCTTGGGCCAGGCCGTATTGTGGTGTGACTACAGTGCACAGACCTGGACTCCCTGGCCTTGGTGAAGTGGGGACTGGGGGAGACGATTTCTAAGGCATCTTCTAGCCTTAACACTCTTGTAGGAGGCTGGGGGAAGACAGCAGTAGACAAAAAGAGTAAGACGACATCTCTGACTTCCAGAAGCCTAAAATCCAGGTGAAGGCAGACAAGCAGTACCCAGCTACCTGCTGGGAGTGCCCACCAGAGGGCTAGGGCCAGGAGGGGTGGCTTCCTGGAGGAGAGGTAGAGCCAGGCGCCAAGGGCCAAGGGGTCATGGCCTCCAGCAGGGGCAGGGTGGCTGGGCAGATGGTTAAGACAGTGGGCAGGGAAAGCCTGTTCTTATTTTGGAAATAAAACCACATGCTCAGTGGCTCTTTGACCAGTCAGCCTGGCGGGTGGCATGGGGGTCCTTCTTAAGGGAGAAGGTATTGAAACGAAGCAGGACTGTCTCCATTCATCTGCTTTTTAATTAACTCACCCTGCTGCCTTAAGTGATTCCCTGCTCACGCTCATTCTTTTGAAAATTCCAAAGTGCTATTTCTGACCTGTGATTTACTATTGCTGTATGTCTCTATAAGCAGTGTTTTAGCTTAAGTGGCAGTTGCATATTAATTACAAAGTTAATTATGTGCTGTGTAATCATGCTGTAATTCATTAGTTTACTCTATACTCTGAGAGCCTCATGCTAATAGCGAGATCTGACAGGGTTTCGGGAGTCAACAAGAAAGACCCGCTGGAAATCCCAAACGGGGCTGAAAAACACTGGAGACCCCAAGCCCCTTCCCGCCCAGGGCTTCTAGCAGGCACGCAGTCTGGGACACGAGTCTGTGGGGGATGGTGAAAAACCCAGGTGGGTCATGTTTTCCCCATGGAAGTGCAGGGACGGGAAGAGAATTTGTTTAAAATTACTTATGGAACAGACAGTCACTTTGAGGTGAAAAATTAACTGCTCAGATCACCCAAAGTGGCCCTGAGAGCACAGATCACGGGGCAGCCCAGGGAAGGCCTTGGACAAGACCCAGGGCCAGGTAGTTGTTCAAATGAGAAGACCCAGGCCAAAGGGCGTGGGCGGTGGCTGTGAGTCTGGGGTTTGGACGGAAGTCTCTTCACACCCTTTCTCCCCTCTACAGCATCCTCAAAAACATCTAGGGACCCGAAAGTGAACACTGGACACATTTCACTCCCTTCTTTCCTGTTTGTAACTCTTGGGGTCATTGGGCCTGGCTTTGACTCCTCTCCACTCCTCAGACAGCCCGGAAACCTTCTGACCCAGGTGAGAGCTCCCAGTCTCCCTGCACAGGGAGCCGATGATGGACAGGAACGGACAGACACTCCAGACGCTGCCCAAACCTTGACTGCTCTCGGGTTATTCCAGGGGATTCTTTTTCAAACCGTCTCTTCCAAGGTCCAGTGTTGTCAGCCACCGAAGAATCATCCACGATCCTCCAATGGCATTTAAAAGTCAAAGTGGGTAAGACAGGCCTGCTCCAAAAAGTCTCCCTTCACCCCCAACTCTGCAAATCTGTGGATCCAACTTCAAGCCTTGTTGAGGGAGGAGAAGATACAAAGGCTGTGACCTACACCGGACATAGCGATCTGGTGGCTGAGACCCTCTGCTTTCCAAATATAAACCTGCTTGTTTTATTTCTGCTGACAGCTGAACGAGGAAAAAAAAAAAAAAAGATGTAGAAGTCCTTTCCCTTCTGGCTCCAGTCAACAATTGGAGAGAAGGACTTGGAGCCCCAGCTGGCATGGGAGGAGGATAAATAAGAAAAAACAAAACATGTCCTTGTGCTACAGTGGAATGTTTTAGAAAGAGGTGAAAAGCACAAGGTCGGGGCAGATTTCATTTTCTATCATTTCAGCAGGCTCCGGGAGAAAGCAAGATGCTGCCGAGTCGACAGTTTTGGGGCGAATCCGTTTTGGAGGGAACTCATTTTGGGGGCGGGGGGCGTCTTAGCAGCTAAGGTGCTGTGGTTTCCTTTCCCGAGAACACACCGGTTTCCCTGGCAACAGAGAAGTCCAGCCTCCAAAGTTCGGATGGGAGACCGAGGCTTGGCCTGGGATGGCTCCCGACAATTATCCACAGCCAAGGCTTCACTGTCCTGCTCGCCTGGGCAGTGAGTCGGGGAGGAGAGGTACAAAAATGTCGGCTCTGCAAAAATGTGGGCCCTGGCCCCTGTCGTTGCCGCCTGCACTTGTGCGAGCAGCTACTCATCCCCAGATTCATCACTTTTCAGGGCTTTAATGGCTGAGCAGGTAAAAATCCAGGAACAGCTTGGAAGCAAGCCTTCATCTGACAGCAGCTGAAGGCCCTGAGGAGTAAAGGCTCAGGGGTGGGCAGCAATGGACCAGCAGGGGCTGGGCTTCGTGCAGAGCACACCTTGGCCCTTGTGCAGCTGGCACAGGGGAACTGGATCAGAGGATCAGGTTGGGATTTCTAAAGTCCTCTCTCCCTCCATCCACTCTCGCTCACACAGCTCCACTGGCACCTCCTAGACTTAGAGCCCGTCTTCCCAGAGAGAAAGATTGAAAGGTCTGGCCTGGAAAGATGCAGTCGGTGCATCAGGAGTGGGAGGGAAGAGGGGTGAGTGAGAGTCAGAGCTAGGAGAGGAGGCGGAGAGCGGGCTCGCGACTGCATTTGAATCACACTTATCCGGGCACCTCTGGGAGCTGTGCTAAGTGCTCCACACACATTATCTCATTTAATTCGTTCTCCAGCTGCCCGGTGGGGCAGGCACAATTATCCCTCGATGGAGGGAATTGAGGGGTTAAGTGACCTGCCCAAGGCCACCCAGTCAGTGCATGGCAGAGCCGTGAGTCACACCTGCCCGTCTCCAAGGCCTGTTCTCACGCTCACAGCTTACAATGCTGCGTGTGCACATTGGGAGGGGGGTGGAAAAAGAGACAGGGGCAGCGAAAGCCACTCTGGCCAGCGGTTCCTTTTCCTGGTGGTGAAAGGAGACAGAGATTCCTGGAATCCTACCCTCTGCTCCCCTCCCCAGAACCTCCCCTTTTCTTCTAAACAATCCGCACTCTGTCCTCCCACAGGAAGACAGGCCATGGAGCAGAGCCACCTGGAGACTGAACCAGAGGCCGTGTGCAGAATCCCACCTCAAGGCAGAGGCAACGCTGGCCAGGGTTTCCTGAGGGTCTGATATTGCACCCTTCACCTCCTTTTAACAACCCTATGAAGTAGACAGGAATAATCTGTTACTGAGGAGGCACTGGAGGCTAGGAGAGTGTCATGAGTATGTCCAAGTTCACATAGCCAGTAAGAAGTGGAGCTGGGATTCTTGCCCTGGTCTGACCTCCAAAACCCAACCCTGAACTGATGATGATGATGATGATGAAGATGATGATGATGATGATGATTCCAGGCTGACCCCCGCGCCTTCCTGAGCTCTTACTGTGTGTTCTGCCCTGCTTGAAGCTCTCAGCATATATTGATTTGTTTTATTCTCTCAACCATCCTATGTAGTACACGCTATAATTAGCTCCCTTTCACAGACAGGAAAACAGACACAGCTTTGAAAGCAACACAGCCAAGGGCATTGCTAGTTAAGTCACAGTGCCAAGGTTCGAACCCAACCAGGCAGACTCCAGAGCTCACACTCGTAACCCACATAACACACTCTCTCCAACCACGGGGATACGCTGTCTCCCAGCCTTGCATCCTTTATTCTAGACGGTTCTGGGACCCTGTTAAGGCAGGCAGCAGTTTGGAGGCCCAGAATTTTCCCTTCATAGAGCTTACCAACCTAGAGAACTGGGGAATATCAAGCAGGACCTGGACTGTGTCTCTGCACACGTGGGCGTGTGTGTGTATCTGTGTGTGTGCATGCACAAGCCTCAGGCCTGTGCTGCATCCTGGGTGTGCGTGCAGCTGATTTATAACCCTCCAAAAAAACGGAATTGCAAATCTCACCCACAAATCTTCCTTATCGAGGTACTTGTGACAGGCAGACACGTCGTGAATTCCCAAGAACAGGCAGGCCTCCCTTCAGCTTTGGCTCCCTCGTGCTCCCTGCTCCACGGGGCCTGAAAGGGGCCAAGGGTTGGCTCTGAGAGGTCCCTCTGGCTGCCAGCAGTCTGGACAGTTCACCCCTGGGAGTGGGTGCCAACCTAGGATGACTTGGTACTGCTTATGGGAAATGCTGGCTACATCAGGTACAGTTACGGAACCCTCCCAGCTGACCCACGATACTAACTGCCCTACTCTGGGTCTCCCTGATCAGATGGTGAAGCACCTACAGAACTGAGGAGGAGGAAAACATGCATCTAATGAACACGTACCATGCACACACCACGTACTGTGCTAAGTGTTAGAAATTTACTTCATTGAATCGCCATGGAGACCCTGAAGACAAGGCCCAGAGAAGTCAAGTGACTGGGCTCGTCCCTGGAAGCCAGGCAGGCTGATTCTAGAGGCTGAGCTCACAACCACGCCACCATGTTCTCCCCAGCCCTGGGCCTCCTCAAATCCTCACACCCCTTAGGGTTCTCAGGCCTTGTCCCTGGCATATATACCCTTACCCACTTTCCCCTAGAGGGGTTTGGGTCTGCTGGGGGCACCTTGCTGGTATTTAATCCCATCCCAGTGTTCACAGATGTGGGCCACTGGGAATGGCTCCTGTACACCCAAAATCAATGCTGCTGCACTCTGAGCCCAGCTCACACTGTCCCCCCTAGACCCAGCCCATACTTCACCCACAGAGCCCTCTCCAGCAGCAGGCCCCCTCTGGGTCTGCAGTCACCCAGTTGATACTCCTGGCCCCCACCTCCTGGAGATGAGCAAGGAGGAGGCAGGCACATCAGGCAGCAGCCGGAGGCAGCCCAGGCTTGGCTCTGCTCTAACCTGCTGTGTGACCTGGGTCAGTCCCATGCCCTTTATAGTTTTGTCTTTTCCACCTGGAAAATGAGCTGGGCTCGCACCCAGGAGGATTCAGTTGCGTGTGCAGGAGAGACAGCCCTTGCCCCTCAGAGGAAGTACATCTATGCATGCACACACACATGCACACACGCATACATGCATGCTTGTGCATACACACACACACACACACACACACACACACACACACACACACACAGTCCTGGTAATGTCAGGTGACTGAATTCTCCATCCCAGCCCAAACAGAGCCAGGCACTAGCCCACCCTTCCTGTGAGGTGTTTCTAGTCTCTCTCTGGCTTGGCACTGGGTGAGTCCTGGCTCCTCCTCCTCCAGTCCAGACTCCTGCAGCCCCAAACCTGTAATCCCCAGCAGGGAAAATGACAGCCTTGTCCAGCAGCCGCCCTCAGCTGGTGTTGGGGAGCCGGGCGGTGGCGGTGGTGGCTGGGAGGCGGGCCGGGACACGCAGCCGCCAAGTCAGGGGAGGTCAACGGCGGGGACAAATGCCATGGGGACTGTGGGCTGTGGGTAGAGGAAGGATGAGAGAGAAGAGCAGGGAGGGATGGGCTCAAAGCCCCAGGGCTGGCCCGAGGCTGGCCTGAAGCAGGACAAGACCCACAGAGGGTCACAAAGGGGTGTGACCCGGACAGCCAGGCTCCAGAGGGCGCCAAGGTGAGCACTACCCGTGGTTTGGGGTTTGGGGAGCTACAATCACACTGATGCCTGGACCTTGCTCCGGCTCCCTGGGAGGGCCTAGGAACCTGCATTTGAGAATGTGCCTCTGCGGTCTGGTTGCAGCTGGTGGAGAGGTGGCCGCTCAAGCCCCTGGGTTGCCTCTGCCTCAGGGAGGTGCTGGGATCGCTCCTGCCTGTGCTGTCACCCCCACAGAATCCACTGCCACTTGGCGGGAGGACAAGGCTACAAACAGCACCAGTGACACCACAATCGCGTCTGCACAGCTGGTCACCTCCAGCCTCAGAAGCAGGCGGCCCGTTTGTAGGCAGGGCCACAGGACTGTCCCCATTGACTAAGGCTTGGAGAAGAGAATGCTGGCCTGAGTCAGCCCCTGAGCCTCCTCCCGGACCCCTCCCCACTGGGAAGGGCCATCAGGAGGCTGAAGCCTGGGTGCTCCCTGCGCCCGCCCAAGCCTGCTCTAGCAGGAAGACTCTGGACGCAGGGCCACACGGATTCTCAGTCCATCTCAGTGGGAATCCACGGCTCTGCCTCTGGGAAAGGAAGATCCCACACACGGCCACGCTGTCCTGACTCCCTCGTGGCCTAGGATGGGTCACTTCCCTTCACTCGGTCTCTGTTTCCCCATCAGAAGAAAGCAGTGGGAGGAGGCTGGATTTGGGGAGGCACAGGCCATGACGGGGGCATTCTAGCTGGAGCAGAAGCTGGGGTGGGAGAGCAGCTGGAAATGTGTTTCGGCATGCTGGCCCCGAACGCTGGGCTTGAGCTGGGGCTGGGGTCAAAGCTGCAACTGGACTTGGGGTCGGCACTGGGCTTCTCTGACTGGCCCTGTCTGAAAGTCTCTTCTGGGCACTTGATCTCCCCTGAGCAGGGGCCCCATTGTCTCGGTCACATGGAAAGACCAGCTGAGGCTGCCTGCTCAGAGGAAGGTGGCAGTGTTTGCTTAGGGCCGCCACAGAGGGGCAGCTCAGGCTCCCACACCTCTGGGGAACTCGGAGGAGGAAGGGGTGCTGCCTGCTTCCTTTGGGCAAGCCTGAGCAAAGTAGGGGCAGGGCCTCAGCCTACCAGGTGTTACCCTCAGATGCAAGCCCTGGGGTGACAGTCCATGGGACAGAGGAGGCAGGTGGCACTTAGGCCCTGGAAAGAGGAGGGTTCATTTTGGTATCAGGGAAGCTGGCTCTGGCCTGGGTCAGGGTCATCGGGTGGACCCCGTCCAGCTACACTGGGCTAGGACCCACTGTGGTCAGCCCCACAGCCACCATCACTCACAGTGTCCCAGTGGACACTGGAGGACCCAGCCTCTTTAAGGACGGTGATGCTGGTGGACTTGCCACTAGGATGACCCTGGGGCATTCCTTCAGTCCATGCCCCTCAAGGGCCCCTTCCCCCGGGACTGTCCCCGCTTAGGAGTAGGCCATGCTCCATCCTGGCTCCCTCCCATCCCCTCTTCCCTCCCTGTCTCTATCTGTCTCCTTCATCTTCGGGGTGCTGTAGGGCACCAGCTCGTCTCCGCCCTCACCACCCTGCAGGAAGGGGACAGGCGGACAGGAGACAGAATGAGTGAATGAGGGGCAGGCCAGTGGACGACAGTGCCTGCCTGCCCCATCAGCCCAAGGATGCTGATCTGACACTGGCCTCCCAGAGAGGGTGGTGGCACGCATGGTGGTTGTCCCTGTGGCCTGCCTGCCTGGAGTGCCTGCTCACCCACTGCGTGGTCCCCACCTGCCTTGGCCTTGCCAGCCCCTCCCCTGCCCCCTTGCGGGCCTGAGATGGCTGTTGCCATGGCAATCCTGCTCATTCAATCCAGGGATAATGAAGCCAATGTGTTTTTCATTTCCATGAGCTGGAGTGCGGAGCAGAGCAGAGAGAGGGGCTTTCCCCTCTTGGCCCCTCCTTCCCGGGGAAGAAGCAGACTGCAGAGAGACAGTGCGTGAGGCCTGACCGGCAGACGGACACATACCAGTGGGAAAAGGCTGAGACCTGGAGCCACCCAGCTCTCTCTCAGCTCACCACAGTGGGCATGTGGCTGGGCGGTGCCAGCTGGATGGCAGGCCTCTTTGCCAACACTCAGCCTGGAAGAGGCGTGGTACCCCAGAGACCGAGTAGGGGTGCAGAGCCTGGCAAAACGGGGCTCTGTTTCCGGCTGTGTGACCTTATACTAGTTACCTCACCTCTCTGGTCTTACTCTAGTAGGACTGAGATCACCAGGCACTAACTAGGTCCTATGTGAGTGGCTGGCCTTCTGTGGTCCCCAGGGATCCAGACAGAACCCAGACAGAGCCCCTGTCCTCTAGGAGGCCGCAGGTTAGTGGGAGAAGGAATTCCTATCAGGCACCCTTTTCAGCTCTAAGACTGAGACCGGAAACTCTTACCTGCTGCTACCAGTAACAGTAACTCTTGGAGTTACCCTTGGAAGGCCGGCACATACAGTAAGTGTTTCATGTGCTAGCGTCCCTCCTCTTCTCCATCGTGGGTCCCTGGCCTGCAGCACAGAGATAGTAGATGTTTAAGGAATGTTCATGTGTGAGTCAGCAGTCACAGCTGCCCCGACTCCTCTATTTCCTCCCGGGCCTGGACTGAGATGGGCCCGCTCCTCTGGAGGTGGAACCCGGGCCTGAGCAGAGCAGCACTGGACTGGGCAGGAGCAGGGCTCCATGCGGCCCTGGCTTGGGAGAGCAGGGCTGTCTGGGAGATCCATGGCCCAAGGTTGCCACCACACACCTCCCCCAGCCCCTCTCCAAGGGCAGGAAGCCAAAAGCACTCACGCAGAAAACCCTGGCCTGTCTCCCCCACAATAATTCAATCACCTTGGAGACCAGTGGCCCTCTCTCTGGCTGGGCTGACAGATTAGAGCTGGAGGGAAGGAAGCATGTGGGGGTGGGGGAGGGGTGGGGCAGGGATGCCAACATGGAGAACTCAGAGCAGGGCCTGAAAAGTGAAGACATGAACCCACCAGAAGCAGACAACCTTAATCTGTCCTCCATTAAGCTGTCTTGGGGCCACCAAGGATGTCAGCAGGGCAGAAGGGGCTGAAGCTGGCTTCTTCTGGGGCCCCCTCCACCTCCACTCAGCTGGGCTCCAGCCCCAACTGGTGAGGGGTCTGGGAGGAGGGAGGCTGGATGGGCTTGCGGATTAAAAGGGGCAGGAGCATAGGCGGGGCAATGGTGGGGAGAGTGACGAGGACAGCGCTTCCGGTGGGCGTCACTCACCAACACACAGTAGGCACTCTGTTTACGGACCAACTGAGTAAGGGAATGTGTGACCACACCTGCAGGTTCTCAGCAGGCAGCGCTGTGGTGGCAGGTTGAGGGGGGCCATGAGCACTCAAATGGGGCCCAACTGCTCATTTCACAGATGGGGAGATGGGACAGGCATGCCAGAGTCACAGAGTTAAGAGACACTGGGACTTCCGGGACACCCCTAGCATGAGGGGCCAGGCCGAGCTGCCCTTACCGTGAATTATGCCGCAGAGTCAGGGCATCTCCCCAGGGTCCCCAGCGGCACCGTGTCACACCCGGCCCAGGCCAGCAGCAAGCTGACTGTGAAGAGGATACTGCCCCGGCCCCTCCTAAGGTCCTTCCACGTGGCCATTAAGAAGCATGTCTAATAGGAGCCCTGGATGGCCTGAAGCCTCCTCATGACTTAAGTCCAAAAGAGAAGCAAAGAAAATTATAAGGGGGCCAGAAAGAAGTCCACTAAAATGACAACCGGGACGGCCTCTGGGTGGGAGGATTACAGGGCAGTGCTGTTTTTCTGCCTTCATTTCTCTGACTTCCAGACTTTCTGCAGCAAGCATGCATATACTTTACAACAAGAAAAAAAAGGGCAGTATTAAAGTTTAAAATAAATCACGGCCACTAAATGTGCAAGAGTCTCCATTTACAGGACAAAGTCAAACTCATACTGGGTTAGGCAGCAGCTCTGCTTAGGTACCCAGGCCCACACACAAGAGCCTCCAAGTGTCCCAGGCCCTGTGAGGACACTTGGGGGCAGAAGGCCGGGTCCGTCTTCCCTTGGTGCTGCGTGTTGGGCAAGTCCAGTGCCTCTCTGTGCTCTGCCCATCTCCCCACACCCTTCCCACCTCGCAGTGAGGATACCAGGACGAATGGTCTGGGTGTGCCTGAACTCACCCTGTAAGCCTTTGTCAACTGAGGGCACAGGGCTTCTCCAGTTAGAGGGGTGCTGTCTGGGGCAGAGAGGCAGCTGAGGTGCCTCCAAGGACAGGGCCGAGGGGTCTGGCCTGAACCGCTCCAGGAGGCCAGGCCAGCTTTCCTCCCCTGTTTACGGTGGAAACAGACTTGAAAAGGCTTCACTTTTCCACTGTTTTTGTGGCGGTGCTGTGGGGAGCAGGGCTTCCTGAGAGCGAGGCCAGCTTTCCAAGGCCACACTGAGTCCAGCCCCAACAGGAAACATCATGTTTTCAATTTACAGGTCCCTGCCAGGCGCTGCGAGCAGATCCACGCTTCCCTGGCCTGGCTGTGTGGGGAGAGCAGGCCCAGGTCCTGCTGCAGCTGGGAACCAAGGTGGGCCAGGTGGGGCCCCAGGACCCAGAGGGCCTCCTGTGGGATCCTGGAGGGGCCTCGTTCACAGTGCGCAGCACAGTTTATACCGTTTTGTTAGCAGCGGATGCACCAGAGACGCAATGGCACAAACTCCAATCCCCGGCCTCCTGGCGCTCACATCAGCCAGTCTACCTTCCTACTGAGCAGATGGGGAAACTGAGGCCCACAGAGAAAAGGGACTTCCCAATGCCACCAGATTATCAGTGAAGAAAGTCTGACCTTAACCCAGATTGGCAGATTCCCAACGGAGTCCCCTGGCCAAAGGAGACTGTCCCATCCCCCACTGATGACAGTGATCACAGCTCACCTCCACTGCACGCCTCTCACAGGCCAGGCCCTGCAAACTCCAAAAGCCTTGCTATCAAGCAGGGCCTGCCAGCCCCTCCTATCCCCAGGTGCTTCTGGGAAATTCCTGGTAAAAACTGAGCAATGCTTGCAGGAGGGGTGTTCACTCAGCCCGTGTGCACTGAATGTTATGCCGATGGACGGTGTCTTGGGACCAGGAGGATGGAGGGCTGACTCCTACCTCCCCGAGTCTCGGGGTTCCAGTAGCACAATCAGAAGGGCGACTGGGTTGGACTGTCAGGAAGGCCTCAGACCTCTAAGATCTATGCCTCTCTCCTCCCTGCCAGACTGTCAGCTCCATGACACAGACACCTGGTCTCCTGCTCAGAGGTATCCCAAATACTCAGAAGAGCGCTGGTCCATCATAGGTGCTAAATAAAAATCTGCTAACTGACTGAGCAGTGGTGGCTGGAGGGGGCTCCGCTCACATGGTGGATTTGGAGAGGCCTGGGAGCTCTCCCCACTAGCCATGTATTGATGACATTTCGAGAGAGAGGAGACACATCCTGGCCTGTCAGGCCTCCGGAGCCCGTGTGGTCTGTGTGGCTGGCCCCTCCCCTCCACAGCCCCAGCCCAGGATGCACAGTGCCCTCCCTGTGCCCCGTTTCTCACTTTCTGGGACTCCCTGAGCTCTAGCAACAGCCAAAGGGCACATTTTCAGGGAACATAATCCCTTGTTTGTTTGTTTGATTCACAAACTCTCCCCTCTCCACCCTTCCCATCCAGGCCATTCCTGCTCTCAACCATGAGCCACTCTCCAGGCCGCGGTGGTGAGAGGGGCCAGTGACGGCCAGACTCACACCGGCTCCTGAGAGTCCTATGGGCTAGGCCTAGAGGGTCTGCTGCAGCCAGGAATACAGGGCCTGCAGGCGGGGAGGGCGCGGGGGCTGCCTGCAAGGAGTGGGCTCCATACTCTACACTCTGCCTGCAGGCTGCCTTCCTGCTGGCTGGCCCACGGGGACCGGGGAGGAACCTGAGCCCAGCCCAAGGTGAAGCAGAGAGGTAGGTATGTGAGGGGTATGGTGGCCAGGCGGAGGGACACACACATGCCGGTCTGTATATGTGTGTGTACGCGCGCGCGCGCGCACACACACACACACACACACACATACACAAAGAGTACACATACTAGAGAAGTCCTCAGAGACAAGCAAGTTCCAACGTGGAGCCCAGACCAGACCAGCCCAGAGACAGAGAGGAGGCCTCCTGCGGGAAGGGCACCTTTACCCCAGCTGCCTGGGGCAGGATAAATCCAAGTGAGAGACAAAGCCAGACAGACCAAATGGGTGAGCAAGGGGTGATCGTGAGAGGAGTCCCATACACAGAACAAGGCAGAGCCAGAGCGAGCGGCAGGCGGGCAGCTGCGGTTGCTGAGAAGCGTGAAGGGGGCAGGACAGAGACTGGTGGGCAGAGCACACCCTGGGTGCAGCCGCCCCACGCCTGGGCAGACTGCTTGGGGTTTCTTTCGGGTTATGAATTGGGGTAAGGCTTGCTGCCACCAGTGGTCTCCCTCCCAATCTGGCTGCTGTGACATCAATGTCTGAGATGGGCCACTGAGTCCCCACTGGCTCCTGCAAGGACCCCCTTGCTCTGCACCTTTGAAGCCTGGTGAGCTGCCCTGGAAGATACACACTGGCTCTTCTCTTTCCTAGCTGGCTCCAACCCTCAGCATCAGCTCATACTCAGAGAAGAGGCCTGGGAGGAAGATCAAAGACACACGATGGAAGGAGGAAAGCCCCCAGGGGAGCCAGGTGTCACCTAAGGATGCTGTGCCCTGCTCTGCAATGGGCTGGGCCTCTTCAGGCAAAGCCCCTTATGTCCTCAGTTTCTCCCATTCAAAGGGGGTGGGACTGTTGGACCTTTGAATCCCCCAGCCTCTGGCATCCAGAATTTTACACTCAGCCCGCGTCCTGTGTGTGCTGCGGGTTTTCTGAGCACTCCTCCTTCCCACCTCAGCTGCATTTCTGAACTAACACTTTGAACTCTTCTATGTCCCACACCAACTTGGCTTGGATTGTGAAGGCCAGACTTGCAGAACGACATCTCAGCTACAAAGGGGATTCCCAACATGACCATCCCTTCCCCGCCAGCACCCAGAGGGCCGAGCCACTCTCCCGAGTGCACCTGGTCTCTGTCCTCTGGCATGCTAGGTTTCTATGACAGCTAGTGAGAAACGGCACAGTCATTCTAGAGATCAAAACCTTCACTGGCTCCCCACTGCCCATGAAATGGAGGCGCAATCTACCAGCACGGCCTCACCACCTGCCACTCCTCCTTCTCACCCCTCTGGAGCCAACAACTGGCAGTCCAGGGTTTGGTGTGCCTTTGTCTTCGATAACTCTGTTCTGTCCAGTTGGTCACAGCCTTTCCCTGCCCCTTCCAGCGGGAGTTGTGTGTCCTCGGTGTCCCCGAGGCTGACCCTACCTTGGCTGAGAGAGCTGTCCTGGGTGATGCTGGAAGGGCTCTGAGCTGCAATCTAATACGGGCAGGAGTGCCCCACAGCTGGTGGGTGCAACTGTGCTGGCCGCTTCAGCAATCCCAGCGGAATCTGAGGAATGCACCCACGATGCACCTT